CTACCATTTTTAATCCTGTTGTAGCAGTGATCCCATTTTGCCTGCCCCAGGGGTGTCAAACTCAAGGCTCGGGAGCCCATTTTCGCTGGCAGAGCACTTGGACCACCCTGGCCATGCCCGCCCCAGCCCCCCAAGGTCAAACATAACCCTGATGTGGCCCTCAATGAAATCGAGTTTGACTCCCCTGGCTTACCCCATGGACTACTTATGCATGCCGATACCCGCAATCCCTTGCTATCCGCACTGCCATTCTTCTGCAACAGTGGCCAAGGACTGAGCCAGAAGAGGATTGATTACTTCCTTCTTTACCCTGAACATGTTTCCATGCTTGGTAGCCTGACTGACACGTCACAGGTGGGGAGGAAGGGCTTGGGCTGAAGCAGGTGGAAGCCAACTGGTTCCAGGGTATTTTGGTCAGAAATAGCTCAATGACAAGTTGCAGTTCTAGGCAAAAAGCACTTTCACTCCCGTGAATGTTTAATTAGGCAACTTATTTTAAGAAGTATCTGATCCTTTCTGAACTTCTGTTCTTGATTCTCTAATAAATGCTGTCAGTTGTAACTTGATTTAGATTTTATTTTATAACTCTAAAAAGCCACCTGAGTCTAGACTAGACTGTGAATAGGCTTACACAGTGTGCTTGGCAAACATATTTGCTTGATTTAAACCAAGGTTACTGGAAACCATTTTTTTTTTTTAAAAAAAGGATCTGTCTATCCTCTAAAGATGCGAAATATCTGAAAATTTCCCTGTGAGAGCTCAAGTAGTTAATAATATTTCATTGTATTCTGGAATGCACAACAGCTCTCTTGTAACACACACTATTTTGGGATTCAAAATCCTTTTACTCACCCTTCTGGTAAAGTTCATTCCCAAATGTGATTTGGGAACCGCTTCTCTATCAACATATGCAGGTTGTAATAGATTTCTCTAATCCATAGCCTTTGTTCTGATTGCAAAACCAAATATGGGTTGAAAGCATAGCTGCTTGAAAGGAAGACGTTAATCGGCAAAGAAAGTATCATTGAAATGTTGGTCTGGGGTTTTCCCTTCCCTATTGCTGATTTGGCAAGAGCTTTAAATATTTTAAGGAAGCAGAATTGAAAACGGCGTTTAAAAGAAACACTAAAAAGCATCAGCTCTCTAAACAGAGATGAAAAATCCCCTATCAGTTGCAGTGTTCCCGATCTCGAGAAAAAGAAATCACTACCTTTTCCAGGAAACAACTTTGATGAAATATAATGCCGGTTTTTCTGACTGGAAGCACAGAAACTCAAAGTCCTCTGATCCAGAGAAAACACTGAACTAGACCAGTGATGACGAACCTTTTAGACACCAAGTGCCCAAACTGCGCACGTGTGCATGCTGAAACTGAAAGGTGTGCATGCACACATGCGAACGTACGCATGAGCAGCAGAGACCCGAAGACCAGCTGGCCGGTAGGAGGCGGGGCATCCCAACACCGGCAGCGCTGCAAGAGGTAAGTTCTTTTTCTTTCGTGAGCTTCTATTTCTTCATTTGCAGGGAAACAAGCTCACGAAAGAAACGCCACGGAGATCTGACCTGGGGCAGTGCCGCACATGCCAGCAGAGAGGGCTCTGCGTGCCACCTATGGCACGTGTGCCATAGGTTCGCCATCACGGAACTAGACTGTCATGCTGTTCCCACTTAATCCTATATACTGAACGGTGTCCAATTTAGAGAAAATAGTTCTCATATGGCCGTTTCTGTACAGGGAGGTGAATGGTTGTGCAAGATTGCAGCCGAAACCAAGTATGTACAAGTCTGATGATTTGTGATTTCTATAGCCCCCTCATCTGTCTGCCACCTTTGAAATGTTCCGTCAGAGGGTCAAATTTGCACTGTTAAAGAAATTTGCACTTTACAGGAAAAAAGTGACCTGTGATTGTTTTTCACACTTACAACCATTGCAGCATTCCCGTGGACACATCATCATAATTAAGTCACTTGGCAACTGGTTCATATTTATGGCGGTTGCAGAGTCCCAGGATCATATGATCCCGTTTTACGACCTGACAAGCAAAGTCAATAGGAAAACCAGATTCACTTAACAACCATGTTACTAACTTAACAACTGCAGTGATTCACTTGACAACGGTGGCAAGAAAGGTTATAAAATGGGGCAAAATTCACTTCACAAATGTCTCACTTGGCAACAAAAATTTTGGCCCTCAATTGTGGCGTAAGTCGAGGACTACTTACATTATGGTGATGAACTGAGACAAAAAAATGGTTACTCATTGTAACAAGGTGTGGCAGAAGCCTTGTTTTGCTGATCTACCTGTGAGCAGTTTCGGTAGTAAAGCTGGTAGGGAACATTTTTTTAACCCATCACTGAGGCCTTCTGTTTATTGACCGGTTTTCTTTCTCACACATAGAAAAGGACTAATATTTACTTAGCTAGCCTACCCATCAACCCTTTTACACACCGTCTTTCACACTAAGAGTGCTATGCTGGGTGGCTGGGATTAAGAGGCTCCTGCTGTCTTTTAAATTTTCAGTTGTTCCTTTTAGCTTTGTTTTCATCTGGTTTTTAACTTGTTTTTAACTATAGTTTTTATATCACTTTACTGTTTTATCATAAACCATCCAGAGACACATAATTGTCATGGGCAAGTTTGTTAGAGATAGGTAGATAGAGAGATGACAGATGATAAATTGGATAGATACCCTGTTTCCCTGAAAACAAGACCCTGCCATATATATATATATATATATTTGGAACCCTGAAATAAGCGCTTGGCCTTATTGCCATGCACTCAAAAGCCCGATTGGGTTTATTATCAGGGGATGTCTTATTTTGGGGGAAACAGGGTAGATAGATAGGATAGATAGATACAGTTGTGCTCGTAAGTTTACATACCCTGGCAGAATTTATGATTTCCTGGCCATTTTTCAGAGAATATGAATGATAACACGAAAACCTTTCTTTCACTTATGGTTAGTGTTTGGCTGAAGCCATTTATTATCAATCAACTGTGTTTACTCTTTTTCAATCATAATGACAACAGAAACTACCCAAACGATCCTGATCAAAGGTTTACATACCCTGGTGATTGTGGCCTGATAACATGCACACAGGTTGACACAAAGAGGTTTGAATGGCTGTTAAAGGTAACCATCCTCACCTGTGATCTGTTTGCATGTAATTAGTGTGTGTGTATAAAAGGTCAATGAGTTTCTGGCCTCCTGACAGACCTTTGCATCCTTCATCCAGTGCTGCACTGACGTTTCTGGATTCTGAGTCTTGGGGAAAGCAAAAGAATTGTCAAAGGACCTGCGGGAAAAGGTAGTTGAACTGTATAAAACAGGAAAGGAATTGAGAATGCCAATCAGCAGTGTTCAAACTCTAATCAAGAAGTGGAAAATGAGGGGTTCTGTTGAAACCAAACCATGGTCAGGTAGACCAACTAAACTTTCAGCCACAACTGCCAGGAAAATTGTTCGGGATGCAAAGAAAAACTCACAAATAACCTCAGGTGAAATACAGGGCTCTCTGAAAACATGTGATGTGGCTGTTGTAAGATGCACAATAAGGAGGCACTTGAAGAAAGATGGGCTGCATGGCCAGAAGAAAGCCATTACTACGCAAATGCCACAAAGTATCCCGCTTACAATATGCCAAACAGCACAGAGACAAGCCTCAAACCTTCTGGCACAAAGTCATTTGGAGTGATGAGACCAAAATTGAACTTTTCGGCCACAACCATAAACGCTACATTTGGAGAGGAGTCAACAAGGCCTATGATGAAAAGTACACCATTCCTACTGTGAAACATGGAGGTGGATCGCTGATGTTTTGGGGATGTGTGAGCTACAAAGGCACAGGAAATTTGGTCAGAATTGATGGCACGATGAATGCAGTATGTTATCAAAAGGTACTGGAGTACAATTTGCATTCATCAGCCCGGAAGCTGCGCATGGGACGTACTTGGACATTCCAACATGGCAATGATCCTAAACACAAGGCCAGGTCCATCTGTCATTGGCTACAGCAGAATAAAGTGAAGGTTCTGGAGTGGCCATCTCAGTCTCCTGACCTCAATATCATTGAGCCACTCTGGGGAGATCTCAAACGTGCAGTTCATGCAAGACAGCCCAAGAATTTACAGGACCTGGAGGCCTTTTGCCAGGAAGAATGGGCAGCTTTACCATCTGAGAAGATAAAGAGCCTCATCCACACATACCGCAAAAAACTTCAAGCTGTCATTGATGTTAAAGAAGGTAATACACCGTATTAAGAACTGGGGTATGTAAACTTTTGATCAGGGTCATTTGGGTAGTTTCTGTTGTCATTATGATTGAAAAAGAGTAAACACAGTTGATTGATAATAAATGGCTTCAGCCAAACACTAACCATGAGTGAAAGAAAAGGTTTCATGTTATCATTCATATTCTCTGAAAAATGGCCAATAAATCATAAATTCTGCCAGGGTATGTAAACTTATGAGCACAACTGTAAATAGATAGATAGATAGATAGATAGATAGATAGATAGATAGATAGATAGATAGATATTGATTGATAGACTAAATAAGTAAATACAGTATAGTCTGTCTTTTTTGACAACACACACTGTCAAATTCACATGCTGCTTTGCATGCCTTCCACAACTCTCACCAACACCATAAAATTCACCTTATTACACCTCCCTTCTCCCTCAGAGTTTGAGAAGTATTGTCAAGAAAAAGATTGAAAAAGATGGCAGCCTCAAAACTGTCAGAATTGTCTCTTGCCAACGCTCTGAATAGAAAGCTGAACTTCTATTAGCTGGGGGGGGCAGGGAGAGAGAGCATTTATAAACATACACGCCCGCATGAGCACACCAACAAAAACTTCAGTCTAGTGTAATATTTTGGGTCACTCGAACACACTGGCCAAACTTCTTTCACTTCCTAAAATCAGTTTTGAGAAATTTCTCAACTCGGATCATGTGATTTCTTGAAGGCACACGGAAGAGTCAGCTCATTGGGGCACGCTGCCTGTTCCCAGTGCCTGCTAAGACAATCGGAGCTTGATAGAAAGAGGGAGGGAAGAAGAAACAAAGAAACCTGTTTGAAGAGGCAGAGAGAGGAAATCCCTTCTTTGCTTTTGCCTTCAATGTTGTAAGCAAGCTTTTATTTTCAGGTTAGAAGGACTGGGTTGGCTCCCCGCCTCCTTCTCTCCTTTTCCTCAGAGAAATTAAGCCACTGTCTCCCAGTGGCCACAACTGCTGACACAATGACGACCTGGATTGAACCTCTTGTTGCTGGTGCTCAGCTTGCCAGCGCTTTCTACGACACAGGACTGTTGCTGGTGGTGAAGAACTACTACAACCAGACCAATTCTTCTTCAGCGCATTCCAGCGAGGAGGCTCAGCAAAAAGCGATCTCTGACTTTTACATCATCTACCATCTTGTTGATGGGTTAACCCCACTGTTATCAGCTTATGGCCTGGCTCGGCTGGGGGACCGGATAAATCGGAAGATCAGCATTTGCGTGCCTTTGTCTGGCTACTTACTCTCCCGCTGCCTTCTGCTCCTTTTGATCTTGTTGGCTTGGCCAATTGAGGTGATGTACGGGGCTGCTGTGTTGCACGGCTTGACTGGAGGATTCACCACGTATTGGGCCAGCATAATGGCCCTGGCCTCCCAGGGTTCATCTAAGAGCAGAAGATCCCTGCGTCTCATCCGCATTGAGCTCATCTATGGCATTGCTGGTTTTGTGGGAAGCATTGCTTCGGGACACCTCTTTGTTACCTTCCATCTCCGTTATCAGCATGGCATAGTGCTAATTTCCTGTAGTGTTGCCTTATATGCCTTGTGTGTCATCTACGGTCTATTTGTCCTCCAAGTCCCCAAACCTGGAGTTTGTGACCCAGCCGCTTCCACCCATGTGGTCCAGCCTGACAACAATTTGGTTGATGATGAGAATTTACTGTTCCATAGATCCGAGAGTTCCTCCCATCTGGGACCTGCCAAATCCATTATCGCCCTGCTCTTTGTGGGGGCCATCCTATATGACTTGGCTGTAGTTGGATCAATTAATGTGCTGTCACTCTTCTTTCTGAAGAAGCCGCTGAGCTGGGGACCAGAATATGTTGGCTATGCCAATGCTGCTGGCCATTTGATCTTCATTACTAGCTTCCTAGGAGTCTTTGTGTTTTCCAAGTTTCTAAGAGACACCACCATGATCATGATCGGGATTGTGTCCTTCTCAGCTGGCATCCTTATTATGGCCTTTGTGCGATGGACATTCCTCTTTTACATTGGTGAGTCAGAGCCTTTTCATGCACCTCGCATTCATTCAAGCAGCATTCTTTTGTTTCATTTCATGAAAGATTTATTACTCTTCTTTTATACTGACCTTTAGTAAATTTAAGCTGTAACCTTATTCTAATTTATGTGGAAGTAAACCTAATACACCTTGCTTTTGAATAGGTCTCTATAACAGGGGTCCCCAACCAGGGGTGAAATCCAGCAGGTTCTGACAGGTTCTGGAGAACCGGTAGCAGAAATTTTGAGTAGTTTGGAGAACCGGCAAATACCAATTCTGGCTGGCCCCAGAGTCGAGTGGGAATGGAGATTTTGCAATATCCTTCCCCCAGGAGTGGGGAGGGAAAGGGGATTTTGCAGTATCCTTTCCCTGCCACACCCACCAAGCCACACCATGCCCACCAAGCCACTCCCACAGAACCGGTGGTAAAAAAATTTAGATTTCACCACTGTCCCCAACCCCCAGTCCGCGGACAGCTACCAGTCTGTGGCCTGTTGGAAACCAGGCCGTGCAAGTGGCGGGCGAGGGCACAAAGCTCAATATGCACATTTGTGGGATTAAGTTGCACACATGAAACTATCCCCTCCCCGCTACTGCCACCCTCTGCTGCCGCTGCCAGTCCCAAGAGCTGGAAAGTTTGGGAATTGCTGCTCTATAAGGCTGCACAGTTGTGACTCCCATTGCACTTCCACATGAGATCTGTAAGGTCATCAACTGAAGCAGCTTTATAAATGCTCTAAAGCAGCGGTGGGTAAATGTGGCTCTTTTACAACCTGTGGACTTCAACTCCCAGAATTCCTGAGCCAGCTTGGCTATCTAAGGAATTCTGGGAGTTGAAGTCCATAGGTTGTAAAAGAGCCACATTTGCCCACCCCTGCTCTAAAGTAAAGGTAAAGGTTCCCCTCGCACATATGTGCTAGTCGTTCCCGACTCTAGGGGGCAGTGCTCATCTCCGTTTCAAAGCCGAAGAGCCAGCACTGTTCGAAGATGTCTCCGTGGTCATGTGGCTGGCATGACAAAACGCCAAAGGCGCACGGAACGCTGTTACCTTCCCACCAAAGGTTGTCCCTATTTTTCTACTTGCATTTTGTACGTGCTTTCGAACTGCTAGGTTGGCAGAAGCTGGGACAAGTAACGGGAGCTCACCCCGTTACGCGGCACTAGGGATTCAAACTGCTGGACTGCCGACCTTTTGATCGACAAGCTCAGTGTCTTAGCCATTGTGCCACCGCGTCCCTATAAATGCTCTATAGATGCACAAATATCAAATTCTTCAGCAATCAAAACCATTCCTCTGATATGTATAATACATTATGCAATTGCATAGGGTGCTATGCTGCATAATTTATTTAACTTCTCCTAAACCTTAGGAGAGGGAAGGGTCACAGATCTCTGAAACCTCATCTTTCATAATTGTCGGTTCTCTATGGTCTTAGCCTTTTCTGTGGCTTTTTTAACCACACATTGTCTGCACACTTCCAAGCCTATTTTTGTAACAATGGAAGAGCACAAAACCTGTGGAAGGTTGTTCTCTCCTCAGATGAAAATTAAATTTCTCAAAAAGCTAAATTCTCTCCTGAAGACCATATTCTGCATAACCTCAGCGTTCCCAAAGCCGCCTGGATATGCAGTTGAAAGGGGTGAAAGACAAAATTGACAGATGCTTTAACTCTCAGAATTGGAATCGCACATTAGAAGGGCTTCAAAGGACAGAATAAAATATACTACAGATAGTCCTTGAGTTACAATCATTAGTTTAGTGACCATTTAAAATTACAGTCGCACTGAAAGAAAGTGATTTATGACCATTTGTCACACTTACGATTGTAGCATTCGCACAGTCACGAGTTCAAAATTTGGACGTTTGGCAACTAACTCATATTTATGACAGTTGCAGTGTCCCTTGCCACCTTCTGACAAGCAACGTCAATGGGGAAGCCAAATTCACTTAACAACCGTGTGACTAATTGAACAACTGCAGTGATCCACTTAACAACTGTGGCAAGAAAGGTCGCAAAAGGAGGCAAAACCCACTTAAGAACTGTCTTGCTTAGCAATGGAAATTTTAGGCTTAATTGTGGTCGTAAGCCGAGGACTACCTTTAAATCAATTTGTCTAGTTTTGAATCTGCACATTTAAAAATAAAATCCCTGCAAGGTGCCTACATGTATGTGTTTAAATGTGTGTGCATGTGTCTCAAAAAGCCAGAATTAATAGACCTTCTTAATTCCATCGAGCTTAAATGGTATGGCAGCATCCTGTTTGTAATATTAGGCCATCCATTGCAGCTCTCTCCTTCCTCTGGCTCCTCCAGAACAAGGAGACCTTGTCCATCTCTGCTGTCACTTAAATCCAGGGGTGAAATTCAGCAGGTTCTGACAGGTTCTGGAGAACCGGTAGCAGAAATTTTGAGTAGTTCGGAGAACCAGCAAATACCACCAGAGTGGGGAGGGAATGGGGATTTTGAAGTATCCTTCCTCTGGAGTGGGGTGGGAATGGAGATTTTGCAGTATCCTTCCCCTGTCATGCCCACCAAGCCACACCACGCCCACCAAGCCACACCCACAGAACCGGTAGTAAAAAAATTTGAATTCCACCACTGCTTAAATCCCTGATAGAATGGGGGATGCAAGGGCAGATTTTTCTCTCTGGCTCACTCAGATGCTTAGTGCTGCTCTCTGACAGCAGTTTTCAGACCCCTTTCCAGAACATAAGCACTGCCTTTGATATTTCATAGAGCATCGTCTAGTCACTAGGGGGTTCCCACCCGAGGGTGCTCGATATTCCAGGGGGTGCGAAAACTTGGGTTTAGAAGTTTCCAAATTATAGTGTGTATGCATAATTATATGCATATAATTATTTATTTTTGTAAGGGGTGCGAGAATATATCAGAAGCGTTCCAAGGGTGCGGGGTATAGAAAAGGTTGGGAATCCTAGTGGAGAACATCTATTGCTTCTCATTTCTTAGGCTAAAGCTAAATCATTGTTATTATAGCTGTTATTGTTACTCTTCACCTGCATTACATCTGGAGATTATAATATACTTCAGAGAGGTTGGCTTTTAGAGTCCTATGTTCAGGCTTATCTGACAAATTGATTTCTCACTGTCTTAAGAATGCAACTCTCCTCATCGTTTGTCCAACAAACAAGACAAAGTTGAGGAAAACAGCCTTAGTTGCCAGCCATGCCAAAACATGAAGCTGAGGCTTCCCATTTGTCCTTTTAAAAACAGCTACACCCTGATCTTCCTTAAAAAGGCTGGGCGTTTGACCTGATGATTCTGCATTCTGCTCTGTTTCAGCTCGTGCTGTGATGCTCTTTGCCCTCATTCCCTTGCCAACCATCAGATCTTTGTTATCCAAACACGTTGAAGCCTCAACCTACGGTAAGAAACAGTTCTGTGTTTATGTCTTTGGAAAACATTAACTTTCAGAATAAGCTGACTTGAGTTTATTCCTATCAGTTGAGTTGGTGTCATAGAAATATGCAGTAACCCCAGTAAGATGAGTCAGAACCAAATTCCTACACTTACCTGTAAGACTATTCTATGAGTATCAATGCCTTAGGCTTTGATTAAAGCTTTCAGGTGTCGGAGGCACATACTTTCCTTCCATAGTTTAGAAAAAATGTCGTGGGTGATTCCACATTGTCTGATTTACAAGGAGGGCTGATTTGAAAGCATCCTTAGAAAAAGGCCTTTTTCGGACAGAGACTTATGAAGGCGCTCCCACATAACACCGCTCCTGCGTGAGCTGCACTGGCTCCCAGTGGACTTCCAAGTGCACTTCAAGGTGTTGGTTACCACCTTTAAAGCGCTCCATGGCATAGGACCTAGTTATCTTTGAGACCGCCTGCTGCTACCAACAACCTCCCATCGACTGCTCCCTCGGGGTGCCATCAGCCAAACAATGTAGGCTGGTGACCCCCAGGGGGAGGGCCTTCTCTGTGGGGGCACCTACTCTATGGAACCAGCTGCCCCCAGAGATAAGGAAAATCCAAGACCTCGGTGCCTTCCGCCGTGCCCTTAAAACTTTCTTTTTTCAGCAAGCCGGGCTGGCTTAACATATTTTTAAAATATTTTTAATTGGTTTGTCATTTTAAACTGGGGCCAAATTAATATATATTCTTTTAATTGTTCTTAATGTTTGAATTGTATGTTTTTATCTGGCTGTACACTGCCCTGAGTCCCTCAGGAGAAGGTGCGGTATATAAATTCGAAATAAAATAAAATAAAATAAATAAAATGAAAAGTAGCAGCCGTAACTTTAAGCTTCCATTTTAAATTTCACACAATGTCATTGAATCTTCTGGGCCACTGAAGGGATATGTTAAAATACAGTTTGTAGCTGCCCAGCACAAAAATTCTAGTACATGTACCAATTTTGGATTCTGCCAGACTGTTGGGAGTCCAGCAGTGACCCACTGCCACCAGTCTAGACTTTCTGGAGGCATCTCATTTGCCTACACATGATAGAAACAAGACATTGGAGAAATAGCCTATAGGGCAATCTTTTTCCAGAAGAATAACCCATGGAAATATATAACCAACTTGGGTTTGGGCTACAGTTAGTTGGTCATTCAAAGCTCTGGTATTTTTGATGAATCCAGAAACCCAAATCATCTCCAAAATAAAGCCACAATATCTTTAATTAATTGTGAGTTATTTAAACTCACTGAGTCAGGTTGAACCAACCTAGAAGAAAGGGCTATCTCACTTTTTTGATTTCACAACCTAGATCTGAGAATCAAGGAAAAGCACTGCTTTGAGGGACAGGGGGTTGAAATGGAGACAGCAAGGATTGGACAAGAGTTGCTAAGCCTCTCCCCACTCTCTATCAGTGACTCTTAGTCCAAATTGTCCTCCAGAGTTTTGTTTATAGTATATTAATATCACATTTCAAAAGTCAGAAAGTAATGACTTTCCAAATGCCATAAAAGGGAGCAGAATGCTGTCTGAGATAGTGCTATACACCCGTTAATCCTACATCAGAATTTTAAACCTGTTATAGCTCCAGGTTCCAATTCAAAGGAGGTTCCACTTGCTAGGCTCTTCCATTATGTAATATTCACTCTTGAAATCAACATAATTATTGCCTACATTATAATTGCCTACAGAATTAGTTTCTAGCACTAATCTGCTGTTGCTTGTCCTATTAATAGTAAGCAACCACAACATTCTGGCAGCAACAGCCTGTTTACAGAATGACAAACATTAAAACTGGTTCAAGAACTTCAGAAATGATTATATAAGGCGTTTATGCAATAAATGCTGGATTTCATCTACTTCTCTGTAACTGAAGCAATCCAGCAGGTGCACTTTAACTTTTCATAAATTGAAATTAAAATGTTGTTCTCAAGCCGTTACTACATCGTAATTACATTTTTTTTTAAAAAAAAACAGATTAGTTACGTAAATTGTAAGTGATCTGGATTCTGATAGAAATATGCCCTACATTCTTTTTCATTCAATCTTACATCTGCTTTCTTTTTTCCCCTAGGAAAAGTGTTTGTCCTTCTGCAGCTGTCACTGGTGATCACTGGAGTTGTGACATCAACAGCCTATAATAAAATTTACCAACACACCCTGGACTGGTTCAGTGGATTCTGCTTCCTTCTGTCATGTGCCATTGGTTGTCTAAGTCTTATTCCTATCAGGTAAAGTAAACTGAGGGCAAACTGAACTTTTCAAAGACAAACCTGATTTTCCTTATCTGTATATCCCTAGATTCCTAAGGTTTGTTCAAGGATCTAGGTCCAAGCCAAAGATTTTTCAAATTCCTGAAGCAGGAGGCTGGCATTACATTATGATGAACCCACAACCATGCCTCCTAGGAGATCATAATTTACTGCTCCTGTATTTTTTAAATTATGTATTGTAGAACCCTTGCAGAGGAAGAAGAGCTGAGCAACCCTGAGTTGCCATCTCTCCAGATTTCCATATATGTTCAAGAAGTTGGCAATATTTGTGTTATTCTGGACTCCATACTGCTAATGTTCTCACTGAAATCAGGTTAAAGTATGGCCCAAGGAACCATCAGACTAATCTTTGCACAAAAACTACTTTTCTTTAGGAATGTCCACAAAAGTTAGCCCCTTTTTTGATGTATTTGTTTCTGGTGGGTTGTGCTTTACTTGTGAAGTTTTGTACTTCAGACATTTTACTGAAATACTAGTAATACAAGATTGATTTTGAGAAAGCGGGTCTGTGGAGATTCTTAATCATCCAGGTCATGATTGTCTCAAAGGTGCTTTTTCAAAAAAGACAACTGGACTTCCTTGATTTTTTTTTCTTGAAAACATTTCACTTCTCATCCAAGATAAGAGCTAAAAAAGCTTTTGGATGAGATGCAAATCTTTTTCAAGAAAAAAAAACCCCAAGAAAGTCCAGTTGGCTTCTGGAAAAATACCTTTGAGAAGGCAGGGTTTTGTTTTTTTTTTCTCCTTCTCCAGGAGCAAAACAACTTGAGGTAGCCTTGGGTCAGCTGCCCAAAAAGAGGATTGTCCAACTTCAAGGAAGTAAAATGTTGGGTATTTCAGAAATGTAGGTGAGGCCATTCAACCGTGGAAGTTAATTCACTTTCTCCATCTAATTTCCTTTTCTACCCCTTGCAGTTTTGTAGCCTACAAGCAATGGACACAATCTGATTTAGCAGAGAGATTAGCCAACCGAAAACAACCATCGACTTCAGAAGCAGATATACGGAACAAGTTGGAGCAACCAGACAGACTGACTACATGAAAGACAGCCTTGTTACTAATTATGCCATTAGGGACATTTAGTTTAGGAACCAGTTTCCTGTACTCTTTCATGTACAAATAGGCTGTTGAAACAGCATAAGGAAAGCAACTGAAAACCATGTATGGAATAGGAGGCATGTGGTTTCTGAGTGATGCTGCTTTGGAACCACATTTCATAGCAATCTCCCTATTCTACAATCAGGATATGTTTGTTCACCTACCCCCTTTCTATCTACAATCCTTCCAGCAAATAGTCTCCTTATTCAGGTTTTAAAGCAAAATATCCTTCCCTGGGAATCCTCAGAAACACCCATTCCCCATATTTAGTCTGATTTTCCCCGTAGTTGGACTAGATGGCCTACCAACTCACAGGATCCTTGTTCCTTAAATCTCAGTGCAATATCCAATTTTGGGGTGATGGGTTAGAAGGCTATAATCAATGACATTTGCACTCCAGTGTTTCAGTGCTCCCGGTGGTTACCTCAAAGGCTCATGTCTTCAAGACAAGACAGTGAAGCTAGAAAGACAATGAGCAGATTTCCTAGCTAAGAAATGAAATAAAGCATGAGATAGACAATGTAATACTTAGGGCAGAACCCTCAACACCTGTTTAATCACACACCAAGATCCATACACCGCTGGATGTTATTTTGTTATTTTTAACATAATAATAAATGAATGGGAAGTTTGCATATTGCATAACAAAGTGACAATCTTTAGAAGCACCTTTAGCTATAAGGCAGCCTCTGGACCTCTTCTAAGTATTTGCTGAAAAGAAAAATGGTGAGCAACTGCAATCCAGCCATTTGTTTGGACATGTGCACTCCTACTCAGACAAGAAAAGTTGGATGAAACATAGCACGCTGAGGGGGGGTCTAGGATAACTCGCTGCGGCTAGCTCACCCACAGCCATCTCGCCACTGCCAAATCACCATTGCCAACTAACCACTGCTAAGTTGCTGCTAACTCCACACAGCCAACTCACCATGGGGACAACTCACTGTGGGCAGCTGGAGAGCCAGGTGGGAGAGGGAGTGCGTAAATGGGCAGAGCACAGAGCACATCAATATGTTTGGCAGCGAGGCAGTGATGAGCAGGGACTTTCCATTTTCACACCCTGCCATTCCCGCTGCTGCCCCTGCCCACACCTGGAAGTGAAGCTGCTGTTGTTGCCGCTACACCGGACATCGAGCCCTACACGGTGGCATTGGTGGCAGCTCCACACCCAGCATGGGGGCAGCAGCATCAGCCTGTGAGGTGGGTTGAGCCGAGAGAGAGTGACTGGCCCCAAATCACCCAGCCAGTTTCTATGCCTAAAGTGAGATTAGAACTCCCAGTCTCCTGGCTACTTACTGGGAGCAAGCCTAAAGTCAAATTCCTGGGATTTCAGCATGTCAGACCATCTCAATCTATATCTATTTGCTCAGGAGTGAACTTTGCTGAATACCATTTGTCTTATTTCTGATTAAACCTCCACAGAAGAGCTTGTGGATTGATTAAACAGAGATGTTGATTTTTAAAGGTATCATTTGCCTCTTGCAGGTCTGTGCTAAAAAATAGTTTTGAGAAATTTGGGGGTGTTGTTTCACAGAGAAATCCTTGGGGGGAAGGGCAAGTGAAAAGACTGATTGCCCACTACTGATCCCCATTTACTACTGTGGAAACACACCTTTTCTTCCTTCCAGATAACAACAGTTCCTTGGCATTTTTTCCTATTTTCTTTCTGCTGGATCCAATACAAAAGAAAATCATCTCTTGGCCCATAGAATCGTCAATAGTTGGACATGACTGAATGGATATCATCATCACAAAAATAATATTTAGAATTAGACTTTGTTACATTTATATTTTTAAAAATGTCTAAGACATCATTTTGTTGGAGATGTAATAAAGATAATGTTTCTTTAAAACATGTTCTTACTATGTTCTATACTTAACATGTTTTGGGAGAAAGTAGTGGACTGTACAAATATGACTGTACAGCAAAAACTAAAATTGTCTTGAACTATATACCTAGTACATGGAACCTAACAATGTACATGGATTTTTTATGGCCTTACCATGGTTAAAAGACTGATTTTGCAACATTGCAAAGATAAATGTACAGGTAGTCATGATCTCAATGGAGCATGCCCATTATAGTCATATATTGTAGTGGTCATGTCATGTAACTGACATGATTTCATAATCCTTTTTGCTACACTTGTTAAGCGAATGTAAAGCTGTAAAGCAAACCATGGTTGTTAAACTGTAGGTAAGTGCCTGGATAGCTCTGCAGACTAAAGTACTGTAATTTAACACCAGCTGTCTGCAATTAAAGTAAGTTACTAAAGTAAGTAGGCTCAAGGTTGATTCAGCCTTCCATCCTTTCTAAGGTAGGTAAATTGAGGATCCAGTTGTGGGGGCAATAAGCTGACTTTGTATAAAAAAAAATATACAAAAGAATGAAGGCTATTGCTTAGCGCACTGTAAGCCGCCCTGAGTCTCCGGAGAAGGGCGGCATATAAATCAAATTAAAAAAAAAAAAAAAAAGTGAACACCACAACTGATAACCAGTTATTTCCTATGGGTGCAGTTTTGCCAAAAACTGGAAGTGCCGCTTTTCAACAAAACCATCATAAAACATAGCCACATGGTTGTGGGATGCTGCAAACGACCGTTAATGCAGCCATGTTGCTGAGCACCTGAAATTTGGTCATGTGACTGTAGAGGGGCCCCAACTGTTGGAACTTTGAATTTCAGTTGTAAATCCTCTTTTCAGATTGCTCATAACATTGAAGGGACTGGTCATAAATCAAGGTCTACCTACATGGCCCCATTCATTCAATAAATTAAAGAGTTATTACACTTGCCACCTATGAACATATTGCCTATTGTTAGAGATTTTCTAAGGATAAGCATAATCAAATATGGAACTCATTTGTACAGTAAGTTAAAAAGAATAGTTATATAATAATGGTTTGAGTAAGGTGGCCATTCTCTCATTTTCAGAGCTCTAAAGCTGCTGGAGATTGCTAATGTGTGTTCCTCTCATGAGAAGCAAATATCTGGAGCACTTGTGGGCAATCTCCCATCCTCTCTTTATCCAGAGAGATTCAAAGAGCCAATCTATTTACTGGTTCTTCATCCTTTGCTGTGTTCATCGACTCTGCTTTCTATGAAGCAACCTTCAGTCCACCATGTCTTCCTCTGAAAGGTGCATCTATAATTTCCAAAGAATAAGAACTGTATATGCTTCTTATGTAATGGCTAATAAAGAAGCAATTTAATGACTAATCTATCCTTATTTATACATTAAGTTTATATCTTGCCACCATCCAAACTTTCCAAACTTTAATCAAGGATAAAAATAAAATAGATGTAGATGAAGGTGGACTTTAAACTGATCAAGAAATGTTGATGGCTTATACAAACACTTGCCAAATAAACAAAACAAAACCACTAAATGTTTTAGAAGCAGTAATTTGGACTCAGGATTGGAGGATATCCAGGCAGAAATGCCTCATCCTTGTAAGAATAAACGTGGAGCTAAATTATTTGAGTCACTTTTTCATACCTCCTCCCAGCCATGGGCCAGCAAAAAAAATATTATTTTTTAATTTACATTTATTTTTTCACAGAATAAAAGACAAAAGGAAAAAGGAAAGAAAGAAAAAGTGCAAGAAATGAAAAAAGAGAAGGAAAATAAAGTTAAGAAATATGAAAGCAACACTGAGGGCCCAGCAGATACACCACTTACTGAGGCATCTTCATACTATTTTTATGATATAAGTGGGGAAGAAAGTTCCTTTAGCTCTTTACTCTTTACTTTACTCAAAAATCAACTATATTAACTAAACAATATTTATGAACTTTTTTTAAAAAAATCCCAAGGTAATAAGAAAAGGAATAATTCCCAGGTTGCTAAGGTAACGGTGACATGACTTCCATTGTGACACCTGCCTTTGCTGGTTCATTTATTAACTGGAGGCCTTTTGTGAGTTGTGAGACGGCTGCATTTCTTTCCTGTTTTGTTGGCGGCACTCATATTTGCTCTGTTTTGGGTAAAGAACTGTTTGTATTTAGAGGAGAGAAGATATTACTATGGCAAACAGGTGATACAGCTTTGAAAAGCTCTATGAAAAATACAGAAGCCATAATCACCAACTAGCCCTTAAACTCTTTTTTTTTTTTTTTAAATCCTGTTCTCAATTAAAAAAGTGCATTTGTGAGAGAGGCAGAGGGTAAAGTAGAGAGAAAAATATCAAATCTAAGTCATTTGGGGTAATATTCACAGAGTCTGATACTGGGATGTCGTGTGTGTGCGTGCGCATACACTTTTGTGTTACATTGCTTGGTGGATGATTTTATTGGCCTGTGAATTTTCTCCTGATTTGTACTAGGGCCAAAGAACAATACTTCTTTCTCCTAGACCACTTCTTGAAGGGAAAGAAGAATAAACCCTAACATTCAGAAATGTAAGTACAATATTTTAACGTTCTGTATGTATATCTCATGGTATGTGTGACCATCTATCCTCTTGTACAAAAGAGAGACTTCCATTTGACAAGTTATCAGGTATAAAGCAGTGGTGGCCTTCAGCCGGTTCCATCCGGTTCGGGCAAACCGGTAGCAGCGGCAGGAGGCTCTGCACACTCACCCAAACGTCATCATGTCCCGTTTTTGATCCTCTGCGCATGCACAAAAGGTCCTGTGCATGCACGGAAGAGACGCTTGCAAGTGAAGTGAGTGTGTGCGCGCGCTCACATTTGCGAACTGGTAGCGAAGGTAAGTGAATACCATCCCTGATACAAAGCCAGTGATAAACAAAAATGGAAGAAAAAGGGTTGAATTTTCCCATCAGAATTTAGAAGCATGAACCACTTAGCAACATAAATTTGAGGGCGGGGGGGGTCATTTGTTGTCGTATGTTGAAAACTAACTGTACTGCGAACTGACTAGTATTGAATAATGGCTGTCCTCTGCCAGAATGTACACAATATCAACAAAGTGAATTTCAAATCACCTTCTTCCATTCCATCTTATTGCAGCAGTGATGTGAATAGTAAATACACCCCTCCTACAGACATTGGTTTCTTACAGCAAAGTCCACAAAGTCTTGTGGCCCCTGGTAAATTGCTACTGATCATAAATATAATTAATTGGGTGATTCTGCATAAACAAGGGAGTTGCTCCCTTCTGGATTGCCAAAAGTCAACTTCTAGATTGCAGCAAATAATTAGCATTTATTCATAGTCATCTAGCAGTCACGTTGAGCTATGCAGCCCAGATATAACATGGAGGAGGGCCACAAAGATGCCACCAGTTTTTGTATCAAAACAGATTGCAGCTTTTTTTTCCTGAGTCGTTGAGTGACAATGAGGTATGAAATTTGGAAGGTGGGGAGGTGGGATTTCAGTCCAGAAGTAACAATACTGTTTGAAACTGTATTTATTTTACCTAGTTACTTGTTTAATCCATTTACATGGCTGCCCATCTCGCAACCTGGGTCACATATAAAATTCAAAGAGCCATAAAGAACAAGCCACTAGCGATCACAGAAGACAATAATAATAAACATATATGGAATGGCAAGTAGGGTAACCCCAACAGTTCCCATAACAATTGTAACATAACAATCCATCTCAATTGTAGCATAACAATCCATTTATCAACAATCGTTGATAAATCGGTATTTCAAAAGGATAAACCAGGGGTGGGTTCTAATTTTTTTTACTACCGGTTCTGTGGGCGTGGCTTATTTTGTGGGCGTGGCTTGGAGGTCATGTGACTGGGTGGGCATGGCTAGCTGGTCATGTGACCGGGTGGCCATGGCTATGTGTATAGGGACTACTCAGAGGGCTGAAAAAAAATCATTTCTGACAGGTCCTCACACTTTTGACTGGTCCTCACACTTATGACCATCCTCACATTTATGCCCGTGCAGCATTCTTAACAATCATGTCACTCATTTCACAACTGCTTCTCTTCACCATGGTGACAAGATAGGGCAAAAAACGTAAAATGTAAGGACAGTTGTAAGTTCAAGGACTGGTCAAAAGTGCAAGGACCAGACAAAAATAATTTTTTCAGCCCTCTGAGTAGTCCATATGCAAAAAAGGACTACCCAGAGTGCTGAAAAAAGTGATTTCTGACGGGTCTTTGCACTTTTGACTGGTCCTCGCACTTATGACTTGTCATCATTTATGCCCATTGTAGCATTCTTAACAATCGTGTCACTCATTTCACAACTGCTTCTCTTCACCATGGTGACAAGATAGGGCGAAAAACGTAAAATGTGAGGACAGTCGTAAGTTCAAGGACTGATCAAAAGTGCAAGGACCAGACAAAAATAACTTTTTCAGCCCTCTGAGTAATCCATATGCACAAAAGGATACAGCAATAGAGAGGGATGAAGGAAGGAGAAGAGAGGGAAGGAAGAGAAGGGAGGAAGGAAGGGAAGGGAAATTAGATTAGGAGTGAGGGTAAAAGAGGGAGGAAGAAAGGAGGAGAAGGAGAAAGGAAGAGGAAGTAGGGAGGAGAAGAAGAGGGGGGAAGAGAAAGTAAGAAGGAAAGAAAAGAGAGAGGTAGGTTTGAGGGTTAGGGTTAGGGGGGATGGAGGGGCAGGGGGGGGAGAACCAGTTCGGTGATGTCATATCGTCACCGCATCGAACCGGTGCAAACCGGGAGCAACCCACCACTGGGATAAACCCTAACAAAGCAAGTTCTTAAAACAAAATGAAATTTTATTTCATTTGAAATATTAGCAATAGCACTTAAACTTATACACCATTTCACATCCTTGTCTTAGCGGTTTACAGAGTCAGCATATTGCCCCAACAATCTGGGTCCTCATTTTATGACCTCGGAAAAATGGATGACTCAGTCAACCCCTTGTGCCGGTGAGAATTGAACTGCTGGGAGTTAGCAGAG